TGCCCCTGCCTCCCAACTGCTGAAATTAAAGGAGTGCACCCTCACACCCTACTTAAAGGCACTTAAAAAATAAGGACAAATGTCTAATGAAGGAAAACTTTTTACCAAATATGCTGTATGTCCGACAGTTTTCTCTGTCACAGGCTCTTAGGAGTCAGGAATCTGCCATCTTCCAATAGACAAAGGGTACATTAGTAAGTGGGCTTTAGAAATTAAATATAAACCTATAAGATCAATCTTTATACTAATTAAAAGTAGACGTAAAATGCAATGCAACTGCCAGAAGGGACACACTTTTCTATGTTTGTTTTTCATTTGTTTATTACAATAGGTTAGCAAAGTTTTCGGGTACCAGAGTTTTAGTGTAACAGTACTCTGATGTTACTTAGGAAATTCTTCCTTTGGAAATGAACTCCAAGCTAAGGGGTTGCTAAGACACTGAAGGACACATTCATATGACTGCTGTCCTGCCATTAGGAAGTTGTAGAACAGAAGCTCCCAGCCTTCCACAGCAGGCTGCTGGGGTGGCTCCTGAGTTCTTACCTAGGCTGGGTTATTTCCATCCTTGCTGTAGAAGGCCCTGCAAAAGCATGGAAAGATGCCCTGTGTCTGCTTGTAACTCAACTCCAGGGGATCCAATGCCCTCTTCTGGCCTCCACTGGCACTCACACACAGGTGTGCACATACCACACTTATACATAGAGATACATAGATAAATAGCAAAATAAATCCTTTTATTGGAAGGAGTTTGTAAATTTATTTTTTATTTTATGAGCATGAGTGTTTTTCCTGCACGTGTGTCTATGTACTACATGTGTGTCTGATGTCTGCAGAGATCAGAAGAAAACTCTAGATCATCTGAAGCTGGAGTGACCGATGCTTGTGTGTCAGCTTCCATGGGGGTGCTGGGAATGAGCCCCAGTCCTCTGGGAGAGCCGCCAGTGCTCTTAACCACTGAACTGTTGTTCTGACTATAAAATCTGTGGTTCAGTCAACTGTGTAACAGCAATATGAGTTTCTTAACTTTGTCAACTATGGCCTGGTTTTTGTAAGATGTTATCGCTACAGGAAGTTGGCAGAATAGCGGATAAGAATTCTTTGTGCTATCTTTGTACCCTTTTTGTGAATCTGAATTATTTCAACAATGTTCAGACAGGGAATAAACACAAAGCTTATCCTCAAGCAAACCTTTATCATGATGCAATGCTAATTTCTCTACACTTCCATAAAGCAATCAGCCTAAACAGATACTAATAGTGAAACAAATATGCTAGTACAAGCAATGATGAAAATATTACTTATATGCTACGTGTTTTCATGTTCCCTTCCATGAATGTGTATGACTTCTTTTTCTTTGTTTGTTTCTTAACTTTTTATTTTTATTTAATTTAGAAACAATTTTATTTTACATATCAATTCCAGTACCCTCTCCCTCTCATTCTCCCATGCCCCCCAGTGATGCCCCCAGCCAACCTTTCCCCAGGGAATGGGAGGCCTTCCATGGGGGATCATCAAAGTCTGTCACATCACCTGGAGCAGGGCCTAGGCCCTCCCCCTGTATCCAGGCTGAGAGAGTATCCCTCCACGGGGAATGGGCTACCAAAGTCTATTTGTGCACTCCAGATAAATACTGGCTCTACTGTCAGAGTCCCATAGACTGCCCAGGCCTCCTAATTGTCACCCACATTCAGGAAGCTTGATTCAGTCCAATGCTGGTTCCCCAACTTTAAGACCAGTGTCTGTGAGCTCCCACAATTACTTCTAAAAGTAAATATTGCTTCAAAGAGTATTTGGAGGAAAAGTAGCTGACTTTGGTTTGGATTTGGAAAAGACCCCCAAGCCCAGTGGACTGCCCCATTTTCACCCAGGCTGGCACCAAAGAGACAAAGCAATGCCTGCTGGAAAGGAAACAGAAGGCTTTCCAGGAAAGCCGGGCATTGCCATGCAAAGCGTGTCCAGCTCGGACACCACAGCAGGACAAAAACGCCTTCAGATCCGTTGGCAGACACACACTTGGAGCATGAGCAAGACAGGCATGGTGCTGGCCGTCTCTCTGTCCTTCCTGCTACATCAAGGAGGCAGGGAAGGTTTGCCAGGCTCACATGGCCGGTTGCCAGTCTCTGAAATAGGGACAACTGAAACATGATCTGGATGCCAGTGTGAACAGGACAAACGCAGGGCATAGGCAGGGCAAGCAGCGCAGCCCCTGAGGGGCAGAAGCAAAGTCGGGACATAGAGACGGTGAGGTCCTGTACCCATCTTTTGTAGACCCTCTGTGCTCCTGGCATGGTGCTAAGATTTGAGAAAGCAGCTAGTTTATCCTGATGACAAACAGCCTTCTGGGGCCAATGACATGCCAAACACATAATAAAGGTATAGGGCAGTTTCAGTGACAATTGTGAGAAACAGATGCAGAAGGGACTGTGGAGGCCAGCCCAAGCAGCCAAGTACAGCAGGATGGCATATCTCTTCCCCACTTCCAAGGGCCTCAGTAAGGCCGGGTTGCCCAGAGAGCACACTTTCCCCACAGCCACCCAGAGTGTACGCTCTCTGCCACAGTCACCCACAGAGTGTACGCTCTCTCCACAGTCACCCAGAGCGTACGCTCTCTCCCACAGCCAGGCCGAACTCCGGAGATAAATCACAGACTGGGGACTTAATCTCAAATTCGAATTTCAGTCACTTTGAATCTCACAGCATGGGACTTAGGCAAACAGTGGCAACTCTGTCATGCCCCCTCTCATGAGTCTGGTACAGTTATATGTATTCATTCATCACTTCCTCTACTTACCATACTCATGCTGAAAACTCCAGTCCATAAGAACCTCCTGTGTTCAAATTAACAAAAACCCCAAGGAAGCTAAAATGTGCACAGATGCAGACCAGAGCCTGGCTATGGAGGAAATGGAGAACTACCTAAGGTACCAGTACACCAAACCATGCAACTGGTATAATATGGACACAGGTTTTCTGGGTAAAAGAAGGAAAGGTGAGAGGAGGCAGGGAAGGAGGGACAGAGAGAAGAGGGGAAGAAAGAAAGGAAGGGAGGGAGGGAAGAAGGGAGGGAGGGAATGAGGGAGGGAGGAAGGAAGGAAGGAAAGAAGGAAGGAAGGAAGGAAAGAAGGAAGGAAGGAAGGAAGAGAGGGAGGGAGGGAGGGAGGACAGGGGAAGGGAGAGAGGTCAAGCTATGACAAAGGTGGGACTTTCTCAACACCAAAAGAAAAATTTAGAGACAGAAGATGACTCATCAGGTGAAGATGAGTCTGATGACCTGATTTCAAACCTCAGGATCCATGTATTAGAAGGAGTGAACCAGCCTGTCACCCTTTGCTGTCCTTTGACCTTAGTACATGTACTATAGCACATACATGAGTGAGCGTGTGTGTGTGTGTGTGTGTGTGTGTGTGTGTGTGTGTGTGTCTGACATGCACTCATACATATATAATATATAAGTAATGTCTAAATAGTAAATAAATTTCAAAAACCTCAATGCTTGCTTTGGGTTTTAAAAGGATCCCGTTAGGTATTGGAATTAAAAAAATGAATTAATTTTTTTAAAACATAGGAATGGGGAAAAATCCAGTTAGTTTGTAGTGAGGTCGTGAATTTTTTTCTGCCTTCTGTCAAGCCTTTTCCAAAACACAGCAAGCCTGAGAATCCCTAGAACTCAGTGGTTCAGACTGGAAGAGACCAGATTAGACTTTTGTTAGCATGAGACATCTTTGGCAGTGAAAAAGCCGTTTCTAATCTTGCTAAGACAGCAGATCATGAGGTCTGGCTGTGCCAAACTCAGACATGTCTTACCTCTTATGCAAACAGCAAAATTCAAATACTTCCTGCTAGTGCTAGGGCAGTCATGCAAGGGCACACACATGCTGTGTTCATGCTTTGTGCAATGATGGGTGAGTGGTTTTCTGACATTATAGTGGTGAATAAGAAGAAAGCGTTGAGCAGAAACTGCACTTCACATTTGGAGCTTAGATTTTCTTTTCGAGGTCAGTGATAGGAGCCCAGCTCCCACTTCGCAGAGCAGTCAAATGATCCACTTCACTGTGTTGCCAAGCTGCTAAGCTAAGTTTGGTAGTAGATGTTTGAGAGTCCACTTTACCCAGAACAAGGGATTGCAAGCAGAAGTTTCTGTCCCACCAGCAGCTCCCAAATAAACACATGGAGGCTTATATTAATTATAAATGTTTGGCCAATAGCTTAGATTTGTTACTAACTAGCTCTTACAACCTACATTAACCCTTATTTCTTATCTAAGTCCTGCTATGCAGCTCAGTGCTTGCTACCTCAATTTGTGCACACCCTGCTTCCTCTGAGTCTGGCTGTCAACTCCTCTGACTCTGCCCCTCTTTCTCCTAGCATTCTGTTTGTCTTTCTCACCTAACCTAGTAAGCTATTGGCCAGTCAACTTCTTTATGAAACTAATCACAGCACCGTATATTCATATATTCCACAAGGGGTCTTCCCCAACATGCTCATGGAAGCCAAGTGGGAGTCTGATTCCTTTCCTGGTAGCAATTAGTCAGGGCCATTGTCCCTGCCTCTACAGGTAGAGTGTAACAGAAAGCCATCTAAAACAGGCTGACTGCAGCCACATCCTCATCACACAGTATACAATGCCCAGTTTCCAACTGAGAATTCATTGATGTATGAAGAACTGAAAATCTCAACACAGAAGAGACGAGAACTAGCTGCGCATGCTCAGCTGACTGAGTGAGACCGCCAGGGCAATGGCTTCTGTGCATGGCTGAGGCGATGTCTTTATTAGATTCTGGTCTCGCCCAGAATGTGGGCAGCACCTTGACGCAGGCTGGGGTCCTGGACTGAATGAAAGTGGAAGGGAGGTGAGAAGTCATCACCTCTCTCAGAAGCTATTGCTCCATTGTAAATTACAAACCTCTGGGTTTGATTCTCAGCACTGAAAGAGAGAAGTATGGCGTGAGGGGCGGGGGGAGATAAAGAAATGACAATAAAACATGAATAAAAATGTTGCCCTGGATTTTGAGCAGGAAATGGCTACTGCTGCATCCTCCTCCTCCTCCTTGGAGAAGAGCTATAAGCTGCCTGATGGGCAGGTGATCACCATCGGCAAAGAGCACTTCCGGTGTCCAGAGGCGGTTTTCCAGCCCTCCTTCCTGGGAAAGGAGTCCTGTGGCATCCATGAGACCACCTTCAACTCCATCATGAAGTGTGACGTGGACATCCGTAAGGACCTGTATGCCAACACAGTGCTGTCTGGTGGCACCACCATGTACCCAGGCATTGCTGACAGGCTGCAGAAGGAGATCACAGCCCTGGCTCTCAGCACATTGAAGATTAAGATCATTGCTCCCCCTGAGCGCAAGTACTCAGTCTGGATTGGCGGCTCCATTCTGGCCTCGCTGTCCACCTTCCAGCAGATGTAGATCAGCAAGCAGGAGTATGACGAGTCAGGCCCCTCCGTCATGCACCACAAATGCTTCTAGATGAACTGAGAGGTGCCAGGCATCTGCTGCATGAGCTGATTCTGAAGTGTCGATTTGCTCTGGCAAATGTGCACACCTCATGCTAGCCTCGTGAAACTGGAATAAGCCTTTGAAAAGAAATTTGTCCTTGAAGCTTGTACCCAATACCAGCACTGGATCGTAGAACTTGTTGCTGATTTTTGACCTTGTATTCAAGTTAACTGTTCCCTTGGTATATGTGTAATACCCCGTGCATGTCTTGATTTAGTCCTTAGTCATGTGGCTTGGTTACTTGGTGGCTGGGGAGAGCACGCTGTGGAAGAGAAATCCCCAGCCTGGTGGATCTGTGTGTGTACCGTGCAGCAATCTGTGCAGGGTATTAGCCGACAGCTGACTTCCAGGATTTCTCGAGCCTGGCAAGGATTCTTGAACCAGTTACCACTTCCGTCTTGCTGGTCTAACAGGGTGGGAAAATCCGAGCCTTAGGACCCAGCTTCCGTTCTGGTGTTTTCCCTCCTGACCGCCGTGGGTTGTTACTTGCCTTGAGTTGGGGACGTTTGCATTGATACCTGTAAATGTATTCATCCTTTTAATTTATGCAAGGCTTTTTGTACTCAATTCTTTAAGAAATGACAGATTTTGGTTTTCTACTGTTCAGTGAGAACATTGGGCCCCAGCAACATTGTGTAACGGAAAATGAAAGTGCTGCAGTAAAAAAAAAAAAAAAAAAAAAAAAAAAAACATTAATTTTTACTCCATGGAGACTTGTTTTTTAAAAAAATGAAAAGACAAACTACAGAGTAGAAGTTATTTGAAAATTGTATCTCATAAAAACAAAATGATTAATTGCTACAGAATATTTTTTTGTTTTTTTTCGAGACAGGGTTTCTCTGTGGCTTTGGGCTTTGGAGGCTGTCCTGGAACTCGCTTGGTAGTCCAGGCTGGTCTCGAACTCACAGAGATCCACCTGCATCTGCCTCCTGAGTGCTGGGATTAAAGGCGTGCGCCACCAAATTCTCAAAATGGCATAATCCCAAAGAAAGCAGACAGGTAGGAAGGGGACAAAGACCATGAAGAGGCATTTTGCTGAAGGAGTCACACAGATGTCCACAGAGACCTGGACAGATGAGCAACATCATTAGCACAGGAATCCAATGAGAACACATGCCCTTGCGGTGCTCTGTGACTTTATAGTGGCGAAAGGAAAACACAGTATCAGCACCCAGCAGCTTCTGGGGAAGACAGACTGCGTCACTCCTGCACTGCTAGTGAAGCAACCATTGAAAAAAGTTTCAAAGGGTTTTGTTGTTGTTGTCTTTGCTTAAAAACAAGAAACTAAACATTCAACCAATAACTGGCTTTCCAGGCATTTTTTCAGAGAAATGCTTAGGTTCATATGGAGACTTGTACATAACTTTTATGGCAGATTTAGTCATGATAAATAGCCCCAAGTGGAAGTAGCTCAGATGTCTTTCAACAGTCAGATGATTAAATGAACTGTGGTGCTTCATGCCATAGAGTACTATCCAATATATCACTTATGTGCACAACAACCCTGGGATGCCCCCAGAGAACCACGCTGAGTGAGAAAAGCCAACACAGAGTGACATGCTGTATGATTCCACATGTGTAACACACTGAAAAGTATAGAAACAGACACAAGATTAGTGATTCTCTGGGTGTTAAAGAAGGGGATGGTAAGGGAAGCTGTGGTGGTTTGAAAGAAAATGCCCCCAAAGGAAGTGGCACTCATAGAAGGTATGGCTTTGTTGGAGTAGGTGTGGTCTTGTTGGAGGAAGTGTGTCACTGTGGGGTGAGCTTTGAGGACTCCTATGCTCAAGCTACCCTCGTGTCTGCCTGCATGCTGTCACGTCCTGCCATGATGACAATGGATTAAACCTCTGAAACTGTAAGCTACCCAATTCCTTTACAAGAGTTGCCCTGGTCATGGTGTCTCTTCACAGCAATGGAAACCCTAACTAAGACAGAAGTAGAACAGTTATACACAACAGCGTAAGGGACTGTGCTCTGACAGAAGGGTGCTGCCTTAGCTATTGGTATCTACACAAAGGCTACGAGATTCCCCTGTGGAAGTGCCAGCCAGGAGCAAATGTGTAGAGGAAGTACTAAAGCCCTTCTGGCCCTTCACTTTCTCAGTGGCCAGGTGAGAAGGGAGTCCGAAGAGCGCTGTCAGAGGTCTGTGTGCTGTGCTATGATCCATCACCACCTGCTGGCCTTGCCCCCTGAAGGCCCAGGAGAGCTGCTTAAGTGAGTCACTTGGAGAGCTCACTGTGTCCCCTACAGGAAATGGCTCACAGAGGTCTGCAGGAGGCAAGCAGACATTTGAGGACAGGAGCTCCCCAAACTCTTCAGGGCATGTGACATGACATCTGAGGACTATGGGGCAAGGGCTGCCAGGCATTATCAGATTCTGTCTGGTGGGCAGCCCAGAGAACAGAACTGGCAAAGGAGAGGCTGAAGGGTGGGTGGGTGAGCAGGTGAGCAGCAGCAACCAGGCAGCTAGAGCCACAGTGGAGGGCCCTGTGGTTATGGAAAGGATCTCAATGAATCCAGGAAAGAACTCTGTGCTGTAGGTGATCATACGCCATGTATGGTAGGAAAGACAGCCACTGTAAACAGTAACCAAGGACAGAAAACAGGAAGCCAAGTTACAGCATCCCTGCCCCTCCCCTCTCCTCCAGAGCTCTACCCCTGGAGGGTTCAGAATGAAGGCAGCTGGATAGAAAGCTAAGCCCCACTATTTCAGGGACGAGACTGTTTTCAGGCCTTGGAGGAGAAGTCAGAAGAAGGTTCACTGTTGAAAGAATCCAGGACTGTGATATCATATGGGAGTGAACCTTTCTGAACACTCAACCAAGGCGGTGGGACATAACAAGCTGTGATGCAGTCTTTCGTCAATGTGACATAAGCTAGAATCGCTTGGGAAGAGGAAACTACAACTGAGAAAAATGCCTCCATCGGATCGGCCTGTAAGCAGGTCTGTGAGGGCATTTTCTTGATTAATGATTGATGTGGGAGGGCCCAGCCCACTGTGGGTGCTGCCCTGGACAGGTAATCCTGTGTTGTGTAAGAAAGCAAGCTGAGCAAGCCATGGAGAACAAGCCAGTAAATAGAGAACACTCCTCCGTGGCCTCTGCTTCAGTTCCTGCCTCCAGGCTCCTACCTTGGATTCTTGTCCTGATTTCCCCATTTTGATGGACTGTAAGCTATATGATAAACTAAGCCCTTCCTCCCTGAGTTAACTATTGGTCAATGGTTTATCATAGAGAAACAGGGAAGCAAACCAGGATGCACCTCACTACCAGAGAGTAGGCTATCACTGTGACTCATCCAACTGTATTGCTTTGGGAAGAATGGTGGAAGTATCTGGAATTTGGGGCTGGAAAAGCCGTTACGTTCCCAGAGATGAATATGCTGTTATGGGATCCTAGAAGATAAGAATGCAGAAAGAGTGCAGACGATGGAGGACTGGCTTTTGAAGCTTCAGAGGAAGGCAATGGCTCAATCAGCACCGTTTGTGCTATGTATTTGAGGGGCGGGGGAAAGTCTGTGGTTTCTGACCAGCTGGATCTGAGAAATCAGCTGTGATTACAAAGAGACCAGATCTACTAAAGTAAAATTTGGTTTTACTGGGGCAATCGATGATTCCCCAGTAGCTGGGGTCGAGAGAACAGTGTAGTTAATAAGAGACCAGTATCACTGAGGCGAAATCTTTTGTGAGTACTTCCTGTCTGTCAGCACATAGAAGCTGTGGTCCAGAAGGCATCAAGACTGTAAATCAAGATGTCAGACAAACTTCGTATAAAAATCTCCCACATGGTACTGGCTTTGAATGTAATAAAGGGGCCATGGAGAGAAGCTGAGGCTTGGCACCATGTGAAGTCAAGAGAGGCCACTTGTGAAGGTACAACTTCGGTTGCAATGGAGACCCCAGCGCACTGGGGATGCCAGGACCATGGGACAACCACCAAGGACAGCAGCAGGTATGAAGTGGAGTTGGTCTGAGCAACAGAGAAGCAAACCAATGTTGGAGCCGAGCATGACATTAAATCTAAGTATTCTGGGGCCAGGGAACCAGCTCAGCAGGTAAAAGCACTTCCCTCCCAATCCCAGTGACCTGACTTTGATCCCTGGGACCTGCATTAAAAGCCTGATTCAATGGCACACATATGCAAACCCTGCATTCCTGCTGGAGTAGGAATGAGAGACAGAGACATATACCTCTGGAAGCTCACAAATCATCTACCCTGGAGGACAAAGCCCAGCAAAATTATTGCTAAGAGAGAGCCTGCATCAAGGAGAAAAGCAAAAACCTACTCCTGAAGTTATCCTCTGATATCCACAGTGTGTGCATACTCACACACTTTTTATAAAAAAAATGGCTGACACTTCCCAGGCCTGAATAGGGAGAGGACAGAGATGGCTCCCTCCCAGACCTCTTGGTCTGGTGGGGGATGGAGGGCACCATCAACCATGAGCCTCTGGCACCGGCCTCCCAGCATGTGAGAGAAGAAAAGCCACAGCTCAGTGCCACTTCTTGAGGTTGGGGTTGGCAGGACTCAACCAAGCTCCACCTGTGACTCAACCAGGAGCCCTGATGCCAGGTGGTCGGGCACCATTATGGTGAGCGAGTTCAGGATGGGAAAATGGAAGCGAGAGAGCAGCAGAATGGTTCATGGGCTGGGGAGAGAGGCAGACCTGAAGAGGCAGTGTTGGTAAGGAGCAGCAGGATAAGGACGGCCTGCTAGCCACAGAAGTCCAAGGTGATGTCCATGCCTGAGCTATTGCCAAGGGACAGGTCTTGGTCCAAGACCCTGAAGCCACCAAAGGGAACTGTGCTGATGTCTTTGGTTCTTTTTTCCACGGAGGACCTCCAGAGGCCTGTAGTCTGGGCTGCAACTTGGGGCCATGTTGGTATCTGAGGCTTGAGAGCTGACCCCGGAGTCACAAGATCTGGCCCCGGGGTCACG